GTTGTGTTGGTTGTTCTCTTGCATTTTGTACTAATTTTGTCTATGTTCTGGCTTTATTTAGGTACTTTTTATTGTAGGTTTCTTCTATTTTGTTATTTTTTTGTAATTTTTGAGGGATCGTCGGAAAGAGTTTTCTTCAAGCCTTTATTTTAATGTTTTTTTTTTAGAGATAAAGAACAGTATTTGGTATAAAGACTTCCGAATAGGTAAGAACAAGCTAAAATTGATGATACAACAGATAGTAATCAACACTGGAATTAACCTTGATGGAAGAAAAATAATGAACCATAATAGTCGATGTACTGCAATTATGATGTTGAAGGCTTTTGATGTACCTGAGGATGAGGCAATGATATTTTCAAGACATCGTTTATGTGAAGGCATTCGGGCATATAGTAGTCCAACAGATGACTAACATTTATCATAAATGGCATTATTAATTCCCTATGCATCTTATAATGAAGATCTTGAATCTTACTATTCTTTTCTGGAGGATTCTTATATTAATTATGAATCTGATGAAAATGACAAAGCAGGTTAGTTTTGGTGTTAAAAAAATCAATATTAATAACTTTAATTTACTTATCTTTTAGATATTATAGTAATAAAAGTTTCACATATATTAAATCTAAATCAAGAAACTACACCTGAACCACCAAGTCAAGAAACTACACCTGAACCACCAATTCAAGAAACTGCACCTAAAACATCAAGTCAAGAATTTATAAAGCTCATGGTCGGGTCAATAATTTTTAGTAAGTTTTTTTTTTTTGTACTATTATTTTATTGGATTTTAGTATTTATTTATTGGCTTTTTTTAGACAAACGTTTTAAAAGAAAAAAAAACAAGATTTCAAATTTGAAACTTTTAATGCTATTCAAAAGTCCAGTAATTGATCATAAAAAGACATGACTTCACTATCAGAATCAATCATCACATATTCAGTATCATCGTCAAGACCAAACATTACAAGCTCAGCATCACCACCAAGACCAAGCATCACAAACAAAAAATAACTATCAGCAAGCCTAGATATCACAAGCAACCAAGTATTGAATTAAACATCATGAAGACAAACAAGTGCTGGCACCAACTTTCAATAAAGAATGAAATGTATTGCAACCAATAACAAATAATATTATAATTCAGATCCCGGACACTGAGAAGTGACTGGATATTAATTTGAAGATTTCTCTTCGAAATGATTAATTTTTTTATTTGATGTAGTTTTTTTTTTTTTCTTAAATGATTTTTTTTTTTATATTATTATGTATTTAAAATTACAATGTAATTGGAAGTAATTTATATATAAATAACATTTTGTTTAATTACAAGTTCATATATATTCTAATATAATCAAAAAGTTAGATAAATAACTTATTTGCACAGATCTATATAAAAATTACATGTTTTCATATAAACCTGTGCAATAAGTAAACAAAAAAAGCATAGGTTGTTACATAAGACCCATATGATAAAGTATTATTACTGGTGTTACTATCGTAATTTCGGAAGAGCATCAGTAATTAGGCCGGAATTAGATCAGCGATAGTAAATGACAGGAGAATTAATTAGGAAATAAGGTTTCTTTATTTGAGTTGAGACAGATATGGGTTAATAGGAGAGCAATTAGGTACAACAATAGGTGGATAGTTGTAATTGTAATAATTATATAAGATAATAAAGAAATGAATTAATACGTAAATAAGATCGTTAAGTTATCTTAACGATAGAGATATTAGGATATAATATGCAACAAAGAGGTAATAAGGATGTATATGGTAAGTGCAATAGTTTATTTAATTGAATCAGATTTAATAATGATGCAGGTTATGTCTAAGTATTTTTAACAATACAACCAAGCACGAGGCACATGAAAATAATAATAAAATAAGTAATTTAATAAGACCATGAACGTAAGTTTACAATAATTGATCAAAAATAATACCATAAAGATGTATTTATGATAGTTATATCAAAAGACAAGGATGAGAATTCGATAATTTTAAGAGTAATAAGACAAGTATATAAGAAATCGAAGTTTGAAAAAATTTTATTAAAGGTCAAAATTGTGTCTTTAAATACATAAATTGCTTTCATAAATTAATATACTACTTAATTAACGAACTATTTTTAATGCCTTTATTCATCTTGTACCTTCCATAAAACCCTTCCATCTATCGTTCCCTTCAATGAAGACTTTATTTTTCTCAGTTATTATGTAACGTTTTTATAATAAGTAAATGCATTCTGTTCTCTAGAACAATTAAAATGACTCGAGTAACTCTATTATCATCTCCAAGTTTGGCGATTCATACACAATTGCAATAGTTACAGGAACTAATGATCTAATGGTGGAACTTTTCCCAAGACAAAGATTCAACTTATCGATAAATCTAATCCCTAAAGACTTCGTGTCTATAAACTATGTATAACTGACTAAGTATGGTAATGAAAAATAAGATATATCTAAAAAAATACAAAATAGGAAATAGATATTCAAATATAGTATAACTAAAATAAGAAGAAAAGAAAAAGAAAATCAAAATAGCACGGTTAATGATTTACAACGAGTGATCATCATATGACAGAGGCGCAGAAAAATTTTCACATGACAATAGTAACACTGATCCGACTACTTGCACTTGATGTGTCATTTACACTTGCTGGATTAAAACTAATAAGAGATGTGACAAAAATCAGGTGATTTTTTAAAGAAGAGGGGAGTAAAAATTTAAAATTACATATAAAAACCTGATCAAAATATATATTAAGAAGGGGGGAGGGAGATAAGCTTCTGATAAAAAAAAATCAGATGATAAATGACACTGCCCTAATGATAATCAATTTAAAATTCCAAATTCTAGACAGCGCATCTATAATTTTGTTAAATCATCTGTTGTTAATAAACAGCTTTGAACATGAGTTTGAACATTTTAAAAAAAGTATAAATTAAAATTACTCCAAATTTTAATAAGATAATTTATATACTTTTCTAAGCGAAAAATTTTTCAAAACCTAAAAAAATATCTATTTTTTTAGACAAAGTTATTAATTATTAGAGCTTGGACATGGTCAAAAAAGTCTTGGACAGTAAAAAAGTACAACACTGATCTAATACGTCACTTTAACGGGGATGAATATGTACGATTTTGAGATAATATAAATTAAATAAATTATTTATTTAAAAAATTATAACAATTACCAACCAATAATTTTTATAAAATATCTAAAAATTTTACAATATATTAAAAACTTAATATTAAAACTTAATATACTGTAATAATAATTATGGTTTTGTTTAAATGTTGCAACACATGTTGCAACATATGTTGCAGCACATGATGTAACACATACCGGTATATTGCAAATTTAATTGTAAATTATTTAATATAATTGGTAATTTGGCTAATCAAATTATACTATCTATTGAAAATTTGCTTATAATAAAAAGAAAAATTAAGTTTTTGACTATTCCTGTTAAAAATTAGATGCAATGGTTTGAACATTATATATTAAAAATCATTTGTGCCGTCACTAAAGAAGAGGTAACACCTATTTTGTGAGTGAATATCCTTTCTACTATCCAGAAGCAATAACATTATGAAAAGTGATTTATACCTTTCGTTCTACTGACATTATGGTTGGATACATCTGCAACTCCGGCATATCCTGAATAGGAAGAGGATGTGCTCTTCTTTTAATAGCTGTTCGAGCAGAAACGTATAATAAAATAAATACACCAAAAGCAACAGGAATAAACCAATATTTGGGGCTTAGTTTGTAACTCGTCTTAAATGCACGGTTCAACGGCGGTACATAAACAATAAGCATAGTCAAAATAAAACCAAGAGTTAAACCGATAAAGTTACGAGGGTTTGAAAACATGAATTTGCCAAATGGAAGACGATAACGGGATTTACAAGCGAATAAATTAAACATTTGTTGAATCAGAATTGCAAGATAGCAAATGGATACTGCTTGATTCAGTGCTTCCATTTGTTTTTCAGCATCTAATTCATATCCAATACTAGATGTATACTTTTGAGCATTGGAAGTAAAATAATTAAATTGAGATGACTCTTGTTGCATATATCGTACGTCATACGGCGTAAGCCCATGATCATAAAAAACAACAAAATATGAAACAACACAGCCCAAAGCTTCTATAATACCAATTTCTAAGTAAGCCCAGCTCAATAAATTACCATCGACTAATACTTCTCCATTAGATTTCTCAAATAATTCTGACCACCATGTACGAGTAAAAGGTTTTTTTAGGTTTCGGAAAAATTGAGACATTTTAGAATAAATTACTGGTTGACCACTTTCAGGATCGGTAATAGTCGGAGTGCGGCGAAGTGCACGGAGACGGGCCATTTTGATTGAAGTTGGTGTTACAGGCTTTCGAGGTAGTAGTTTCATAAGTTTATTTTTGCTTTCCGGTTTATCCCAAGCAAATGTTAATGCGATGAGTAGTTCAAAACCCAAATCCACCAACAGAACGAGGATTGGAGTTAAAGGTAACGGAATAGGGACAATAACGAAAAGTAGAGATACTATAACCTCTGGTGCCGTATGTGAAATAGTGTATTGAATTGATTTCTTGAGGTTGATGAAAATGAGACGTCCTTCTTCGATTCCTTTTACTGTTGAAGCAAAATTATCATCCAACAAAATCATAGCAGCTGCCTCCTTGGATACATCTGATCCTGATTTATTCATTGCAATACCTAAGTCTGCCTTTTTTAAAGCTGGTGAGTCATTAACACCATCACCAGTAACTCCAACAATATGACCCATTGATTGAGCTCTTTTTACGATTTCAAGCTTGTGGCGGGGAGATGTACGGGCAAAAATAATTTCATTTTTAGAAAATATATTATCCCAATCCGCATCACTTAGAGAATCAATTCGTTCGCCATGAACAACAATTGCATTATATTCTTCATTTGTAATACTTTCAATAGGACGACCTGTTTTTTTGGCAACAAGAGCTTTGGTATCTTTAAGCATCAAATTTATTTTGCGTCCTATAGCTTCAGCGGTTAATGGATGATCTCCCGTTACCATAATAACGCGAATACCGGCAGTGCGGCACCGACCAATAGCCTCGCGAACACCATGTTTTGGAGGATCTTCAAGGGAAACCAATCCGACAAAACATAAATTATTAAGTGGATAATTTTTATCTTCTTTATTAAACACATAGTCCTCGGGATACTCATCACCAGGTAGCAATAATTGTGCAAAGGCCAATACGCGATGTCCTTTTGAAGCCATAAATTCATATATTTCGTCATATCTTTGTCTGTGTTCGGAAGTTAAAAAAATTACTCCTGTTTCGGATAAAATAGTTGAACAAAGCTTGAGAACGCGCTCAGGTGCACCCTTGATATATAAAGTTAAATAACCCCTATCATGTTTTTTTTTATGAATCGTGAGTGCCCACTTAGTATCTGAATTAAAAGGTATTTCAAAAACTTTTGGATATGCATTGTTGATGTCATCAAAATTGTCAACCTGACTGGCTGCAAAACGAACTAGCCCAGTTTCTGTAGCGTCTCCGAGAATTTGACGCTCTGCAATTGGAACATCAACACGATCAAATTTTACACGAGAACAAAGTAAAGAACTATGAACAATTTCTTGAATGCCAGGTGCATTTAAGTCAAAAAGATCGTTCTCATTTTGTGTATTTCGAAATGCACTATATAAATTTAGCGAAGCCCAAATGTATGTCACTGTCATTTGATTACGAGTTAGTGTGCCAGTTTTGTCAGTGGCCAAAAGAGTAATTGCACCAAGAGTTTCCACACCCTGGAGATCTTTAACAAGTACATTTTGTGCTGCCATTCTTTTAGCGGCGATGGTTAAAAGTACAGTGACAGTGGCCGGCAAACCCTCAGGTACCCAGGAAACAAGTACAGAGATAGCAAAACTAATTGTAAGGGGTACATTATTTCCATTAACCCTTAAACCTACTCCGAAGAAAATAATGGCGCAAGTTATTGCAATTGTGGCTATTATTTTCACAAAATTTTCAATTTCTTGCGCCAACGGAGATTTGTTTTTTTTTTTCGGAGGCGGTTAGACCAGCAATTTGACCCAATACAGTATGGTCACCAGTACGAATGACAATTCCATAACCTTCTCCCGATACAACTAGAGTACCATAGAAACACAAATTACTGGCTTCAAGTGGACTCTTATGTGTATTTACCTTGCTACGTTCCTGCGGTTCTGATTCACCCGTCAGCGAAGAGTTGTCTACTTTCATGTCTGTAGCTGCAAAAATGAACAAATCAGCAGGAACTTTGTCTCCCATTCTTACTAAAACAATGTCACCTTGAACAAGGGTAGAGGCCTCAACTTGTAAGAGCTTCCCTTCTCTAATAACGTGACATTTTTGTGGGATCAAACTTAAAAATGACTCAAGGATTGCAGCAGATTTTTGTAGTTGATAGAATTCAATGAAGGCATTCAAAAAAGCAACACCTATTAAAACAGCTCCAAGATAAATCTTCACATTTATGATATCAAAGGGTACGATAATAGTTAGTGTCATCGAATTTTATGATGATAATGCTCTTTTAAACAACTTACCATATCTTTATTACTTATCGGATCTATACCAACTAGAACATACATAAGAATACCAGCAATAATTAATAGTATATTGAAAAGAGAGGCAAGGCATTCCAGATATTTTACGATAGGATGTTTCTTTTTTGGAGGTGTCAAAATGTTTGGCCCATTTTTATTCAATAGATCATGAGCATGGTTCTCACTTAAACCATAAGACTCTGATGGTTTAACGGTATTTATATCCATGTGATAACGCTCAGCGACCTCTTCTGGTGAAAGCAAATGTTCATCCTGAATCGTAAAACATTTAAGTTTATATTTTCATAATTTCGTATCAGAATATGTCGATAAGATTTATAAATAGGATCCAAATTGAACTTACAATATCAACATGCTTTTGATGTGCATCACTTTTAGTTTTCTCGTTAGCTGATACTTCGTGTGTAACAAACTCAGTAACAGAGGCAACAGGTCCTGTTTCCTGTTTAGCGGCGCGACTAGGTTTTTCTGGGTCCATAAATTGAATTTTGGATAACGTTTCAACTTGCCCCTCCTGAGTCGCTAAAATAATTTTATTTTTTTTACTTAAACATATTTTGCAGTCAAAAAAAATCAAAATTTATGTTTTTTCCTTATGAAGGTATGAACTTACATTCGCTTGAATTTTCAACTGTTTGAGAAGTTGTCACTTCCTGAATTCCATCTTTGGACGCCATTATCGTGGTGGAAAGACAAACCGATATTGTATATGTTGTAATATAGTAAAGGCAGATATTTAACAAGAACTTATCCTCCCAATAAATTAAAGTAAACCTGATAATGCGCGAAGGACGTCGCACTTTTTGAGCAAGAAAGGGACAGAGAGAGCTCTTGCAAACATGAGCTGTACGTTGATCATTTATTATTATCTAGATTGGCGCAAATTGCAATGCAGTAGTCAATTGATTCTACCGGAACGATTAAGCATGTGACAAAACTCATAAATAGAATAACTTAACGCTGAATTAATTAATAACGATAATCTTAGGGCGCCACCGAAATTTTTAAGTGTAACTATATTCTTTATGGAATTTTTACTATGGTGCGAATACGTACGTACGTAGCTTAAGTATTAAATGTACACTTTAACACGATCTTTGTTACATATATTGGTATCATGTGGGGTCTTTGCAGTAGAAATGGCCGAAACTCCCCAGAAATAAAAAATGGGCATCATAATAAATAGAAATGATTTAAAAATATATACTTTAATCTTCAAATGCAACACTCAAATGCAACACCAAAAAAATCTATTCAAATGGGGGAGTGTCAGTAGAAACTAAACAATTGTTTTCGGTTTCTTTAAAAATTAAATTAAATATCTCAACAACTATTAATCAAGCTTGACCAAAATTTTTTTATTTAATTCTATAGTTATATAGAATTAAAATTAAAAAATTTTTTATTTAGAAGATATTTTAATTTAGTTTAAAAAAATTTCTTAGAAACTATTTGCTTGGTTTCTACTGACACCCCCCAAATATATTATACCGAACTTCCAAGCATTATCTGAAATCAACCATCTAGTATAACGTGTGAGTCTTTAACTAATAAGTTAGATCAATTAGGTTCTTTGTAAGAGGGAAGAGGGCATTAAAAACAAAGCGTCCGGATTAAGAAAATACCGTATTTCGCGGGCTAAGTACCCCAATTGTAGAGTATTTACCATCTTGTCTCTGGACATTTTAACGTTATAATAGTGCAAATTTTACTTCATATTGCTAGTATGCTAACTTACAAGACTGTGAATACGGTATTGACCGAAATGACCGAAATAAAAAAAAAAAAATACTGCAATTTGATTAGTTAATACAATACGCCTTGCCAGTTACTAATAAAGGGTCAACCTTAACCTCCAACTAACCCTTACCCTAATTTTTATTAAATAGTCAATAACATATGACTGGACGGTTTTGTACGTTGTCTAATTAAACCTTAGCTCAAATCCAATTACGGTAGTCTTAATGTTGATGTCATGTATCTAAAATTATTGTCAATTAGCTATGCATATGACATGTTTAACAACATTAAATACGTAAAAGTGCACCCTCCATAAATGCACGCACTATTGGGCTGTATCTGACCCGGTCCTGCATGTTTTAGAAGGGCATGCATGTGATTGGCCAATTTATATCGAGATCGATTTGACCAAAATAATGAAGAGTCCTATGTAAAAGTATATAGTATAGTTCAGGTTAATAAATTTAGTAACGTATGATAGCTGATCAGACCCTATACCCTAACCATAATCCTAACATGCTAACATGATGTATAATCCTAAACCATAATCTTTAACTATCTGTAGATAGTATAGCCTACTATATAATACGTACGTACGTACGTACATGTATGTCATACTGGGTGTACGACCTCAGTCTAATTACAAATATACTATAGTACGGAACAGTAAAGACATTCAATCTTACCAATTTTTGATGTTTACATAATCAATTTTGATTGGTTAATTTTGTTGTAATGGATTCTGATTGGTTAATTAAATATATATCTTTTTTTTTATATTAAACGCAAACTTTAACTTATAACCTTTTTAAATAAAAAATCCTCTGACAGAAATGTAGTTTAGCTAAAAATCTATCAATATGTTAGAGGACTTTTTGATTTAGTTTGTTTTAAAAAAGTTATAACGAGTTAAAGTTTTTACTAGCTGCTAGTAAATAGTAGATCTGTTTTACTGTCCGACTTAAAATTGCTTTTTATAGTTAATCACGGATCAGGTATTTTCGGAGCAAATGTTTGTTTTTATCAGATCAACCAATCAAAACCCTAATTTGCGGACAATGTCCTTCGGACTAGTGTTGCAAATCGTTAGTTGAAAAATCAACTAGTTGCCAACTTTCCAACTAGTCGATTTGAAAAAATTTTAAACAACTAATCGATTAATCATTCAACTAGTACAATTCCGAGAAATTCCGTCTAGTCGGGCAGATCTGAATTAATTCCTTTGGTTTGATTGGCTAATCATCTGTTGATGTCACGTGATGTGAACAATCGATTAGTTGCAACTATATGAAGATCACTAATCAGCTGCAATGAATCTTGAACTAGCAAACCCACACAAATATAAATATATGTTTGTCAGGTTCGTTATAATGTGCTCTTTAACGTGATAACGCTCTTTTTATTGTCTGGAACTTAGCGGGGAGGATAAAATAATACTAAAATTCTCGTTTTTGATATATTATTAATAAAAATATCAAAAACGTAGCTATTGCATATGTGTCACAATATGCACAAAAATTCCAAGTTACGTTTTTGCTATTTTTATTAATAATATATCAAAAACGAGAATTTTGGTATTATTTTATCCTCCCCGCTACGTTCCAGACAATAAAAATAAAAAAAAGTGTATTGTCACGTTAAAGATCACATTATAACGAACCAGACAAATATAATTATATTTGTGTGGGTTTGCTGGTTCAAAAGTTATTGCAGCTTGAGCTTTCTATGTTTTTACTATTAAATTTACGCTGATCTACAGTACACTATAAAAAATCTTGATTAGTGATCTATATGACTCGTACTATATCTGTAATTAGATTGATGTCGTACATCCCAATATCATTCGCTTGTCTTTTTTTAAATCCTACATAACTTTTGTATTTCCGACTATACTACTTTATCCGACAAACTCTTATGATCATGAATTTATTTCTGTTATTTTTTTTCATGTTTTACAAATATTCACGTTTACTCAAATTAAAACTCAGCCGACGATTCCCTACCAATCATGATCTTAAATCGGCAAAAAAATTTTGAATAACGGTAATTTTGCTCAATCGGGCAAATGATTGGCTGACACGTGCCACGAAGCAGCTTGCCCGGTTGAACCAAATTACCGTTATTCAAAAATTTTTGCCGAATAATGTATACATCTGCAACACCGGAGCATCAATCTATACTAAATCTATACTTAGTTGGGGTTACTATTTTAGATAGGATTTGCATCAAAAATGTAACTATTTCTACGCGGGTTTCGCACGCACTTATCGTTATTTGCGCGAGTAATATCAGAGAACACAAAGTTTGACTATTCCGGATAAGCCCAACATGAATTCCGAACACGTGTAAAAAAGAAAAAAGTGAAAATACTCAAAACTAGTGTTTAAATCGACTTTGGTGCACTAATCAAAAATGGGAACGAAATTTTATATATAACTAGTGATAATCTATTGCTATAGTCTCTAATGTTAACGTCTTAACCCTAAATTTATATCTTTACGCACTTAGTTTATTCAAAAAATTCGATTTCCTTTTTTGTAGTGCTTCAATCCTTATCCGTCAATTTTAGGCGGATGGATTCAAAATATAGATTTAGTAAATATACGAATCTTTATCGTTATTACGAATTGGTATGCTATTATTTAAGTTTGTGAATATTAACTATTATATGGGGTCTGTGCCTTGAAAATGACCTTACGGGACTATGTAGATTTTATGAATAAAAATTAAAATTTCTAGCTATCCAGTAATTCAATTCAAATAAATATTTTTTTATTTTACAGAACTCATTAAGTTCTACAAAATAAAAAAAAGTTTATTTGAATTGGATTACTGGATAGCTAGAAATTTTATAAAATCTGCATAGTCTGTAAGGTCATTTTCAAGAAATAGACTATATTATGCTTTGATTTATTTATCTAGTTGTAAATATTAAATTTTTAACAATAAAAAAATGAAATTTATTTGGCTACAAAGTACTGCATCATATTTTATACTTATTGATTACTTGTTTATATTTTTTTATTCTTTTCTTGAAACTTATTTAGAGCAAAGCAGAGGATAAGCAAGAAAAATTTTTGAATAATAAATTACTGGATTTAAATTAATCAAACAAGCTAGTATCAATTTATACCTTGTTTATTATTTAGATATTGTTATATTAGTAGATTTTATTAATTTATTTATTAATTCAGTTTATATTTATTATATGTATATTTTTAGTTCTAGTTTATTAGTAAAATTTTTAATATATAATATTAATTTTAGTATAATATTAAAAATGTTATTTGATATATTAATAGGTATGTTAACTAGAATGTTAACTATATATTAACAGGGATGTTAATAGAGATTTATCTTTTTTTTTTTTTTTTGGTTTTAAGATAACCTCTTGGTTGCTATCTTTTTATTCAATTATTGTTAACTTTTACAGTATAGTATACACCATATCATACACATATTCGGAAAGTACAACTAGCCACATTTGCAACTTTTAGTTGTTTATTTAAGTAAACCCCTATTACTAAGTTCTACACTAGCTGCCGTACCTATAACCTTACCAAGTTACCTATTTAAACTCTCTGCGTCTATGTACATTAATCCTCTAACCAAGCGAGAGTACATTAGTACTTCCTTATTTTTAGATCTTCAACTTAGAACTTTAAGACAGACCTACCTATAGGGGTCCTTTGTCCTTAAGATAAACCTGCTAGAGCTTTTTATACCCACAATCTAGCTAACCTAGACTTCGGTAACTTACACCGGGTCTGAGAACAAGTATTTGCGAGCTGAAGCCACTACTATTATCTACTTCTGCCCTTGTAGAGTTCACCCAGACCCTAGCATACACTTTACAGACAATTATTACCATTCCTGGTCACCAACTATGCTCCAAACACCCAATCCAAATAGCCTGAGATGGACCAGTGGGCATCCT